CCTAGTGTCTACCACTCCACTTTACCCTCTCTGAGCCACTCCTATACCTTTTTTTTGCCAAAAATGTTTGAATTTAAATGAAACTATATGTGACCAGGGTTTGTAATATGAGAAAACAATATATGCATGCAGTGAAAAGACTCAATCTTTTGTAAAAGGGAGTAGTGATTGGTTGAAGTGCATATTGGTTTTAACTTGCACAAAGCACTCCAGTTTTCCTAGACTATAAAATAAACAAGCTGACTTTCACTCGCATGGCCATTAATATGGCACCCCAAACTCTTGGCCATCCTTCTTCATCCTCCTCCCACTCATGGAAGCCACTCTTCAAGAAGATGAACGCGGTCTTCTTTGTCAAGATCCCAATGGTCTCTCCTTACCCACAGTCCTTCTTATAGTCTTGGCATCATGTTCGGATCTGAACACTTGGGTTCTTTCCTCTGTGTCACTAATTGTTTGACTCCAAAAGAGTGAGTTTCCCTGTCCGGTTTCTTAGTGGTTAAAGCATCAGCCTGTGGACTGAAGGGTCCTGGGTTTGATTCTGGTCAAGGGCACCTACCTTGGTTGCAGGCTCAGTCTCTGGCCAGGTTGGGGTGCATGTGGGAGGCAACCAATTGTTGTGTCTCTCTCACATTGATGTTTCTCTCTCTCTGTCTCTCTAAGAAATCTATGGAAAATATTCTCAGTTGGGAATTAACAACAACAAAAAAAAAGGAGAGAGAGGTAACATCTAAAAAGGGCCTCTTGAGGTTCCATAAAATGCTTCGAACTTACACAGACATGGAGACCTTCAACTCACCTGGGTCAATGGATGTATTTTTTATACAAACAAACTGGGACTCAAAGGCCAGAATGATTTGGTGGAGGTTTTCTAGATGGTGGCAGAGAATGGGTAGGAACCCACATCTCCCATTTCAGTGCTGCTTCTACCACAAAGTGCTGCTGCTCTCCATCATCCATAAATATGAAGACTTTATCTTTTATAAAAGTCAAAGAAAGATAAAGCAAGACCTTCCAAATAATATGAGTATTCAGTGCCTTCTGATTGAGTGATGAGGAGCAAGATTTCTAAGGAGGGATCTGAGAGAAACAAACTAAATGTTATAATGGGAAGCAGCACCAATAGCAGTTGTCCCTAGAACTTAAGTTTGGGGACATGCTGGTGATGGAGGTTGGTGCCAACGGAGATGCTTCTTCTCTGAGACCTGCAGACATGAAGCTGGCTGCAGCAGGAGATATGAGAAGGCGTTGACATATTTTCATGTTCCTGGCAGGTATTTTCTAAGAGCAGCGTTTTCAGGTTTGATTCCGAATGGACACCTGGTATTTTCATCCTTCAGGACACTATTGAAGGACATCATCTGTTTCCTCAGCACCACGTGTAACCCAGTGGCTGCTCTGGGACCTGGCGTCTGTCCATTCTGATAGCTACTTTCTATTGGAAGGAGGAACATTTATAACAATATGCCTTCTGTTCATTGCATTGGTTTGATATCCTGATGTATTTGAATTGCATTTAAAATAAGAACTAAATAGAAATTTTGAAGGAGAAAAAAAAAGTTTAAATTCTTATGGAAGGAGCATGTCACTGTCATCCTGCCTTTTGTAAAGTGGATTTAAATATTTATTACATGCATGGTTTATTGAAGGGATAAGATAGAATATGCATTACTGAATCTTACTTGAAAATTTAAATAGAAGTCTTCTTTGCTTAAATTGGATTTTCCTTTCCACCAAAATAATCACAAAAATAGCATACAAATATAAAGTTATAATATCTGCTGTTTTATATTAAAAACACTTCTGAGCTCAGTGTGTCCTGAACTTGGATCGATAGTACAATGAAAAGTACTAACTCTGTAGCTCTTTTATGAGGCATAATTGAAAAGAACAAATTCTAGGAAAACTATTGCTAATGAATAATAATTACAGGTTTAATAAAGGGATGTGTTGAAATGGAACCTTCAAACCAAGGCCAAGTTATTCATCAGATAACCTTTGAATATGCCAGAATTAGCCGAATTCTCTGTAATTATACAATTTTTTCTAGCAAGAGAATGAAGTAATGGTATGCATCAATCAGTCTAATGACAACTTGATTTTCCAAAAGTCCCCTTAAGGAAGGCTTCCAATGTACTTGGAGAGGTAATGTAACTAGGCCATATCTGGTATGGAAAGCACTTAGGTTTGTATATTATTTTCAGATAACTTGGCAGCTCACACAGCTAAATTAACAAAAAGCTAAAATATTCATGGGAATATTAACCTTGTCAGATTATGAATTGAGTCAAAATTTAGCATATGTGCCAAAATATTGGGCTTTTCTTTCGAAGTATAGCATTTTGTAAAAGAAGAAAGACAAATTTAAAAGTGTCTTGATTCACCACATTTGAGTGTAGGCTCCTATTTGAGGCTCACCCCATTGTCCAAGGCTGTGATCACTGAGTGGACACGTGCTGACCCCATCACACAGATTTTGTTCATGAGCTCTATAAGAGGTCTCATGGCCTACCAGTGCACCAGAATCACATGGTAATGGGGAACTTTGGGTTCTTTTATTTCTCTGGTTGGCTGTTACCAAAATCTTTATTCCAGTCTAAATTCACACGGATTCATGAACAGTTTTAGAAAGGAAAATCTTAGCCCAGTTTAGTTTATTCAACATATATTTTTCAAGCTAGCTTAAAAAAACAGCCAGTTTAGGGGAGGCCAGGGGATTGTCAAGGGCGGGGGGGAAAAAGGAGACATATGTAATACTCTTTGTAATACTTTAAGCAATAAAACAATAAAAAAAACAGCCAGTCATCCATCTACATTTTGGTGTAAAATATCATAATTTACAGTTGGTCATTAAATGATGCTATAGCCAGGGAGAAGAATTACTATATTCGATTCTTCTTTTTTGTTCATGAAATCTGTCTTTGGGGGTTGGCATATTCTTAATAGAGAATCCAGGAGGAAGAGAGAAGAAATTTCTTTGTTAGGTTTACCCAAAGAAGACCCTAAGAGAAGGCTCTGAGTTTAGATACTAGGTTGGGAAGTGGTTTCAGGTAGGAGAGTGAGGGAGGGAGATCAGCTATTGAAAGGGGCTGCTGTTGGCAACAGGGGCTCAGTGCTACTAGAGACCCTGGGGAAAGTGTATAACATGCTCAGATCTCCCCAAGGAGGGTGATGGGTGCAGAAGGTGGGGACAGTTCCATCAAATTACTTTCTTATTGGTTGGGACACAGGAAACCAGATTTATAAAGAAACAGGCTGCAAGCGACCTCTAAGGAAGGCAGAGGGATTGTGGGTAGGACACTGGCAACGTTGACTACAAGAAGCATAAGTGGAAATGAAAGTAAATGTTGGGAAAGTCTAATGGTTGCTTTAAATTCAATAGAAGACTGCACTGAATCTTCATGCACACACAGGTTATTATCATAAGATAGCAAAGTAGAACTAGGTCAACTGAGCATTGTGGCCTGGTGCATTTTATTTTCCTTAGCCCTGGGCTCATCTGTCACCCATCAGAAAGAGGACAAAATTGGTTTTAATCTAGTTGAGCTGATTGTCAGACATCTCTGCAAACACATAGAATCCTCTGGGATTTCTAAATAGATAGGCTAGGTCCAGATTCATAATCTGTGTTCTACATGCTAACATTCCTTATCACCGTTTTAGAAGTTAACAAATTTATATTCAGTGTCTATTTGCTTTGATAACGACAGAGATTTGATGGCATCTCAGAGCAACGGAAGAAAGATCAACACTCAGTTATGCCAGTTCATGGAGAACTGAGGTCCCTCTACAGGCACGTACTCTGTCTCCTGTTGACTTTGCATCTAACTTTACCTAGACCAGGCTGGGATGGGCTTTGGTGAGAGTCATCCCACCTCCATCAAGATGCACTCCTGGACTACCCTCTGCTCCTCAGGGGTAGTTCCCAACAGCCGCCTAAGTGGTGTGTATAGGAGATGGACCCCTGGCCCTGTAAACCTGGGAGCAAAGCCCAGTTTCCCCTAAGCCCCTACTCTCTCACCACTTTGTTCATAAACACACATACAAAAGAGAGAAAATGTGGAAGATGGAGACATATTTCATTCAAAAATGTTTATCAACATGGAATACCACAATAAATATTAAATCTACAATACCTGAAGAACATGGTGTTTTCTACAGTAAATTAACATTTAAAATACTCTAGGATGAATATAAACAGAAAGGTTGCCCGTCTGTAATACAGTATGTAGATGTAGATATATATATATATATATATATATATATATATATATATATATAGCACATTTTTCTTGGAGAAAATGGAAAAGTACAACTCTAAATAAAATAAGTACATATTAAAATAAGTGTAATATTACATGCTATTGTGTTCTGAATTTACTGAATTTAGAAACCAAACATACAAGAAAAGCTCATAGCAGCTTTTTGCCTTCCACCAGTAGTTTTTTATAGATGACATTTTACAGAAGCCAATATTCCTGATATTCTGTCTTTATAATAGTTCAAAATCACTAAAGGAGATTGAATGTTCATCATAGAGGAAATGAAATAGTTGAAAATATTTATCTTATTTAGGAAATGTGGAGTATTGGTTGACTTTCTAAAGTACAATAAAGCTTGTACCTTATCTCTCATATGGGCAAGCCAGCAAAAATAAGTGTTTTCTATCTTAAACCACTGGTTTCTGGCATTCTAAACTTATTTCTGCTTTACTACATTAGAATCAAAGTGGATAAATAATATCCTTGGGGAAATAACTTTGCCTTCCTTTTTTTCTCCACACTGAAGAACACATGATTATAACTCAATAAATAAAATAACACACTCTGACCATAAATATTTTGATTTTTTTCAACATGTAGTCCTAGAATCTGTATTTTTAACTCGTTGAAAATAGTCCTCAAATTGGCTGCGCTACAACTCAGTGATGTTCTCGAATATTACTTGGATGCTCCCTTCGTTATTTGAACTCTCGGTCTTCCTTCCACACCTTGTTTCAGGAGCGGCTGCTGCTGTCCCTGCTGCCAGCTCACATAGCCATGGAAATGAAAGCTGAGATTATCCAGAGGCTGCAGGGCCCCAAAGCCGGCCAGATGGAAAACACAAACAACTTTCACAACCTGTACGTCAAGCGCCACACCAACGTCAGGTAAACTGCTCTGTTCTTTCTCAGCAAGTCCGGGGAGCCTGGTCGCTGCAGCAGCGACATTTTTAACTGGAAGCCAATGTCTTGCAATAGCATGTCTCCTTTGCAATCGTTAAACCTTGGCACGTAGAGTAGTTATCCCTTCACCCACCCTTGTGCTGCCTCTTGGAGCCTTCACGTTAAGAAAATAGGATCCTCTACTTTATTGTGTTGTCCCTCTTAGCCCTGATTTCTATGCTGACCATCATAAAAGGGGGATAGGTGGACAGTGGTCCTCATTCCGGGAACTCCACGGTCTGATCTCATGTTCCCCGGGGCCCAGGACACTCAGCCTTGCAGGGAGATGGAAGACGGGTCGGTGGGCTCTCAGCACAAGGACGAGTTCTCACAGTGGGCTTGGCAGACAGGCCTCAGAGAAGCCAGGACTTTCTAGGGAATCTAGATGTTCATCAGGAATGTAGGGTTTCCGGGATGTGGTCAATCAGTGACCAACATCCCAGGAGACTGATGTGCAGCTTAATTATAGTCAAAGTTATTGCTTTTCAAAGTCTGGCGCAGTCATATCTCCTCGGGAGCCATTCCTGGAATCACAGTCCCTGGAATCAGATGGGATTGGGGTCAGGAAGGAAAACCCTGTGGGGCGGCTTGTTCTCATGCATGTCTTTGGCCTCATTCATTATGTTTTGATGTTAATACTTCAGCTGTCAGAGTTACCCACCACCCTCTTCAATAGTTCCATCATAACAACTACAAACAACCAAAATTTGTTGAGCATTGACTAGAATTGGGATAATTGGGATCAACCTGTTCTGCCCCACGTCCAGACTCTTTCCAATGCATGATGCTGCCTTCTGGTGTGGTTGCTTCGGGTCAAGGATTTTTGAAACTCATTAATAAGAAATAAATTTAATTGCAAAATAAATGCATTGCTGAAACAAATCTCACTTTGACAACAGATTTTTAGAAAAGGTGCATGGAGCTAGTGATATACATAGAAATGCTTATTGAGAAGGAGATAATAGAAAAATGGTTGCATATTAAGTAAGAACCGTGAAAGCACCTTTGGATAAATGAAGAATCGGGAGTGATTTTTTTTTAAGTCCCACCATTTGGAGAGATAGATTAAAAATTAAAGAACATTTACACATGTTAAGGAGTAAAATTATTTAAAATACTATCTTCAGGTTCTTAAGTGTTTTACATACATATCTAAAGAAAAAAAACATTTGCAGTATCTGACAAGGCATATTATACTAGAATGAACCTCTTCCAACCTTGACTGTCTGAGAGTCAACGATGCCCCTCCCATTTCAGGAAATACTTTTAAGTCACACATCAGTTATTCAAAACATGTGAAGATCCATGCAACTATATCTAACCAGGATCACAAGAATATCTGTAAGTAGTTATGACACAATGCAGGAACCAACAGACCTATAAAAATGACTAAAGATAACCACCAACTTCAGGTTTCTCCTGCTATGAATTATCAGTTTCTGTGTAGTGAATTACCCGCAAAATGTAGTGACTTAAAACAAGAATAAATATTGTCTCCCAGTTTCTATGGGTGGGAATTTGGGAGCATTTTAGCCGGGTGATCAGCAGTGTTGGTCATTTCTGTGGTACCCCACCTGGTGTGGGAGGGGACAGTACAGGTGTGAGCAGCAGGCGGTGAGGATCCCTGGGGCCACCTTGGAAACTGCCTGCCTCACTGGCTACGGCAAAGGGTTGGGGAAGCAGCTTCAATGCCCTTAATTTCCCTCACACATTGTCTGGAATATGTCTGCAGTATTGAATTAAATTTAAATTCATAAAATATATTTGGAATCCAAAAGTAACTTAAATACTTAAAAATGTAAAACCTTAAATGGCATGAAATAGCAATTTAAAACAAAAATATGAAGACGTGGCTTTTTCGTCCTGCAACAGGACATGTACAAGCAAAGAAGCAGGTCACACAGATAATACCTGAGTGTTTTGGGGTTTTCTTTTAATGAGGATTATTAGGTTGTAGATAGTACCAAAGAGATCAGTTACTTGCTTTTAGTACTGCTTTGACTATTCATTCAACAAAACATTTATTCTCCATTAATAATAATTACTAGCTCTTTGTTATGCAATGATAATAACAACAATAATGATGATAAGGAAACGGCAAGGAGGGGGAGGAAAAGACAATTTATAGCCATAAAGGTAAGAACTACCAGCTGCTTCCTGAATCTTCCTCGTCTTCCTCCAAGTCCCTCTCACTGGTGCTGAAACATCACAAACCCATCAGATCTTTGAAAATAGACAGACATGGCTCCTAGCCCAATGCCACCATCCACCTCTGAGATGACCTTTCTGCCTTTCAGAGCTCAGATTCTAGAGATTTTTCCACTCTCTCTGACTAATCTTTATTGCCTCACTCTCCTCAAATCAACACTCTCTGCCTTTAACCTCCCCATGTCACAGAACGCATTCTTGCTAAATTCACCAACTGTCTTGTCCCAGATCTGTGTTTGTCATACTTCCACACCCTTCTCTCAATGACTGCTCAGGTTTCGTGGCCCCTGTCCCTTGCCCTTGAACTCACAGAATTCCCCCATCCCTCATTTTCCAGACATCCTATCCCCTTTGTTTTATTTCTACAGTTTCCTTGGTGGTTTTCTCTTCCCTAAATCTAACTCTCCTGTAAAATTAGTGTCTTCAGAGCTCTCCCCTCACTCTTTGTGTTCTCTCCAGCTCTCTCCCAGGATTTAATTACCATCCATGTGGTGCTGAGACACAGAACGCAACCATAGTTTTCCGTACTCATCTACCTAATGGGCGTCTTCCTCTTGGGTGTTCTGCAGACACCACCATCCAACTCCGTACAACCAAAGCTGAGTCAGACATCTTCCCCTGCTTTGATTTGTCCCACTGGCATGAAGGGAGGCTGCACTGTCATTCCCTAAGAGTGACTTTCCTGGACTCCTCACCATCTAATGCCCACCTCCTGCCCAACCCCTCCTCCTCCCCCCGCCCCACACACCACACACACTATTCCTTCCTATAACAGCCTGTTGTTTTCTTTTATAGAACTTATTATCATTGTATTTGGACATTTTAGGTATCTTTATTTGTTTAATTCACCACCCAACTAAACTCTGAGCTTTAGGAAGATGTACCCTAACTGTTTCATCCCCGCAGGTAGTAAGTAATCCAGAATCTTTTGGTAAGAAGACTTTCTTTAAGAAGATTATTATTCCAGGAATTTTTAAATGAATAAAAACAGGATTTTGGCTTTTATTATTTTACTGTTTCTACTTTTAGGAATTCTTATAGTACAAATTTATGTAACAGATGGAAGCATACCTATTTGATATCAGGATTAGGACAGTGTAATGGACTGTCAGGATGACTACTAAATAAGCCAGAGGGAGAGAGGGGCTGAACCTGAAAGAGACAGGTGATCAGTAAGAATAGACTAGAATAGGAAAAGTGCATCATGTGACTTATTTTCTCTCATTTTAATTATAAAATTTTAACATAAAAATGTACTCTGAACATTTAGCAAAGTGTTTTTGTATTCTCTTTCCAGGGAAATGACATTTTCCTTCTGAAAATAAAAAATGAAAAAAGAGTATATACTCTTTGAATAGAAAAATCTAGCATTACCTTCTTAATGAATATAAACTTGCAAACACTGCCCCCTTTGTTCATTCCCACAGTATCCTCTATGCTGACATTGTTGGATTCACCCGGCTGGCCAGTGACTGCTCCCCAGGAGAACTGGTCCACATGCTGAATGAACTTTTTGGGAAGTTTGATCAAATTGCAAAGGTAAGTATTAGTGATTCCCTTTCACTTTGAAGATATATAAAAATTTGGCTTTCTTTTCCTCTGGCCCCTTATCAACTTTTTGCTGTTTTACAGAAAGCCTCCTTTAGGAATGTTGTTTGTAAATGTGTTGGATTTATTTGCCATTGAGCCCTCCTGATAAGTCTCAAGCCTAACTCAAGGGTGAGAAATGCCATAGCATGTAATTAACACATTTTCATCTATTTTTAAAACTTCTACTTATATATAATTCAGCACACATATAATAAATACATTTTGAATGATGAGATTTAAGTTGCATATCTCTGTGCACTATGCTACTTGAAGGTCCCTTTTTAGGCATTTTGATGTCAAGGAGCTGGAAACATGGTTTCCTCTCATCTAGTTATAACTATCATGTTGTAACTGTCATGTATTCTCATTGTTAAGAAGCATCCTAAAAGAACCCCTAAAGTAGGATGCATAACTTCTCCCTAAGCCCTTTGTTTACTATTGTCTCACTTTTATTCATTGATCCTTGTGCCATTCAAGAAAAAAACAAGTTCAGTAGTTGCTGTTTATATGTTCATTTATAAGAAGTTTTATAGAGAAGGAATGATGACAAGTGATCTAAAACCATATTAAACCTTATTTATTGGAACTGTTAGAATTTGTGGTGGGAATATTGATAAAACATTTTCTCTCTCCTTTCCTCTCTCTGAAATCGATAACGATAATAATAATAAACTACAGAAAAACAGAGCTAAAGGCAGCACACTTTTTTACTTCAAAACATATTACAAAGCTAAAGCAATCAAAACAGTGTGATACTGGCATAAAAACACACATATAGGCCAATAAAATAGAATAGAGGGCTTAGAAATAAACCCAGGCATATATGGTCAACTAATCTTCGATAAGTGTGTCAAGAATTCACTATGCTTAATATTCCAGATTTCTGTATTCTAGATTGAGAATATCTATGCAGGAAATATGAGAGGGTAGCCTTATCAAAAAATATTTGTTTGCCTTTTTATTACTTAGGATACTGTTATCAGGAATTACTAGCATGCCATCTATAGTTCTGTAGATAAGCATCAAAGTATACCCACTCTCCATTAGACAAGGAAAGAATTATGAAAAATCTTCTATAAACCTATAATATGCTTCAGAACAAAAAAAATTTTATATTCGTTTTATTATTTCAAATTTGTTCAATTTATACATAAGTCTGAGTTAGTGTTAGGAAGGAAAAGAAAATATGTGTTTGGTTTTGGTTTTGGACTTTTTTATTTTAGTGAAGAGTCTATAAGCTAGATGCAAAGATTAGAAGTAAGTGTAAGATTGATGCATATGAATGAAGTTGATATCCATATTATAAAAACAACCCAGACAAGAAAAACGATGAGTTAGTCTAACTTTATAGTTAACTGGTTGAATCTGTCAGAATTGTTTTATTTATTTTTATTGGTTGATTTTAGAGAGAAAGAAAAGTGTTGGGAGAGAGAGAGATTTATTATTCTATTTATTTATGCATTCATTGGTTGATTCTTGTATATGCCCTGACCCGGGATCTAACCTGCAACCTTAGCGTACTGGGACAATGCTCTAACCAACTGAGTTACCCAGCCAGGGCAGAATTGTTTTAAATTACTTGACAGTAATGAATGGTGCTTTATTATATGATGGAAATGTATATCAGAAGCTACATGTCTGCAGGTAAGAACCTTTAATATAAACAAAGACTGTGAGCATAGTAGGGAATGACATCGATTTTAATTCCAGTGACGTTCTGGTCATCGTTTTCTGCCCTGGAAGATTCTATTCTGCATAGAATGTTTCATTTTAGCATCAATGTTTGGGGATGTTTACACTAAGGAGAATGACCTGTCTGTATATTCCTCTGCTAGTATTAAGTAGAAATATTTCCAGAACATTCTCTGTTTCCCCTTTCATTCCCTTTCCCTTCTTCTCCTACTTTGGCAAATGGGCATGTGAGTGATGGTGGCTCATTCTTGATGGGTAGTGAAAAGAAACCCAACTTGTTCTCATTTCTCTCCCCATGAATCCTACTCACTCTGTCAGTAGGATTAGCTCTTGATGATATTCTGCAAATTTAAATTCTCATATAAGTGCTTTAATGCAACTGAAATTCTGTGATTTTTTTTCTTCCAGGAGAATGAATGTATGAGAATAAAAATTTTAGGAGATTGCTACTACTGTGTGTCTGGACTCCCAATATCACTCCCCAACCATGCCAAAAATTGTGTGAAAATGGGACTGGATATGTGTGAAGCCATAAAGTAAGTGTAATGCTTAGTAAGATCTTCTTTAAACAGTTTAATAATTTTAGCTGCAGTTCTCAGATGCCACTATCTGTATTTATCAGTCTACTGGCATTAAATGCATTATTGTACATTTAAATGTAAACATGCAGGGATGGGGGGGGCGGTAATGTGGGAAAAGGACACATATGTAATAACTTAATCAATAAAGAGATTAAAAATAAATCAATAATAAATAAATAAATAAAAATAAAATAAATGTAAACATGCAGAGACCCATTTACTGGTATGTGAGTAACTTGATCCAAAGTATGACTTCTCTGAGTATTTTGTATTATTATTTTTAGTCTTAGATTTTTTGCAAAACTGAGTTAGAAATCTATGGAAAAGGACAACTTTGGGTTTTTTCAAAAGTGATTTTTAAAAATTTAAATATCTTCTCTGATCTTAGGGAAACTGCACTCTTAGGATCCCTCATGATTTCTGACAGATAATATGGCTACATATAAATTGTAAGAAAGAAAGTAGTTTTATCACCAGGCAGCAATTAATATACAAACACAGCCCAAAACTACTTCAGCTAGTCAACAATTCTCAGCTCTGTGTGGTTTCAGTTATATGTCACCTATTTGGCTCCTTATACAGCTCACAAAGTGATCCTTAATAGGTTGTTTTGTTACACCCCCCAATAAAGGGCATCGCAGCCAATTTCAGGAATTCTTTGTTCTCTCTCACATGCCAGGGCAAGCATTTCATTCCTATTTATTAAAGCATAAGGTGAGGAAGAATAAAGGAATTTTAAATTTTTAAGATGGTGAGGAGAAAGCACACACTTGGCATCGGAATGTTGCCAGATCATCTCAGGGTTTGTCACAGGAACCAGAAACATGGGTCTGTGAACGTTTGCCTGTGTTTTCCCCTCCGTGTGTGGATCCACACTCACTTACTCAGCTCTCGTCCCCGGTTTGCCGAGGCCCCATGGCGGAAGCACTTCAGCTGCAGTTTTGGAATGTTCCCAAGGCTTAGAGAGCGGTGTTTTTTTTTCCTGTCATGAGAATGCAAACTGTTCTTAATCAAGGAAGTGATATTCAGGATCCTGATGTTGTAAGTCATTAAGGTTCCTCTTAAACTAGAAAATGTGTCTACTGCTGTTGCAAGTTTTAAGCAATTGCTTCAACATTTTTCTATAGATCACATAAATTGCATCTGCATGCATTAAAACACTTGGTCAGTGAATTCATTTGAACCTTCGACCAACTCATTTTTTCTACAAAAGATACATAGGACTTGGAGACTATTTTAAAGAGTCAAATCATCAACCAGTCAATTCTGTCACAATGGCCATTGTAGAGCGCCTCGCCTTCCCTTTTTATGCCCTCCCGGCTCTCTGCTGACCATGTTTCGGTTCAGAAATGCCACGTGGTTGGAACTGTTCTCTCTCCACGAGATAAAATCTTAAGAGCAATTATGGGTTCTACAACAAATTATTTATCTCCCAAAGATGAAACAAAGTAAATTCTTCCAAGATGACCCAGGTCAAGTAATAAACTTGCATCTTGTATTGAGTGTCTACATTGCCCCAGGCCCTGAACCCACTCATGGGTATACAAACCATTTGGACAAGGTCTGTGTCTTCCCGGGGCTGACACTCTGAGAGCAGATGTCAACACAAATGGGGGTGTTAGCTGAGCTCTGGGAGGTTGGAGGACCTAGGGAGGGTTCCTATATCAACCAGAAAGCCTTCCTGGATGAGGAGAAGGTCATGCCTAAGCCACAGATGGAAGAACAATGCAGACTGGCCCTGTGACACCCACACCCTGTCAGAGAAAGGAGCCTCAGGGGAGTGGGGAGCAGAGAGAGGAATCATCATGAGCAAAGACCCAGAGGTGAGGACCATACAGGGCCTGGGCTGCCATAGCACTCTTCGCTGATGGAGGGCAGAGTGTCAGGGGCAGATCTTCTACATTATGTAAATGTTCTGGCTCTCCCTGTGGGCAGGAATGAAGGGTTTGGATGGCCTGCATTGTTTGTTGTCTTTGGTGGGGGGCGGTGTACCATAAAAGAAGATAGAGTGAGAGGAAGGGCAGGGAAAGAAAGGAAGAGAAGGGATGGGAAGGGAATAACTTGCTATTTTTTTTTCAGGAGGCTATTTATTTTTACACTGTAGGTTTGTTTCTTTTTATCATTTTTAGCATACACCAATGGTGTCATTTTACCATTTAAGCATGACATCTATGCCTAGTCTTTTTGAGCCATTTAAGTTTCATTTACTGCAGCCACACCTGGTAACCCTTCCTCTTTGCTGTGTTGCAACCAACATCATTGTTTCTTTTCACATAGCCTCTGGGGGTGATTCTCTCCGGGTAACTAGGGATACCTTCCTGTATGCTTCTTTTACAATAACATTTTAATTGATTAATGTACTTAGCTGGCAGAAATAAATAAGCATTGCCAAGCATTTTCCCTTAAAGGAAATTTTTCATTTGTCTCTGTTAATGAGTTGAAGACAGTGTCCTAAGGTATTTTTAACAGCTGTTAGAAGGAAAGCGTTGGGGGGATTGGGTGACAAAGTTGAAGGGATAGACACAGACAACAGTATGATGATTACCAGAGGGCAAGTTGGGGGGGTGGGGGTTGGAAGAGGGTGAAGAAGGATAATCAGAAAGAAAAACCATTTTCTGGCTCAAGGCAGTAATCTGCTACAGAAGAATTCGTGACAATATTTCCAACAGTCTGAGAAATTCTGAGTAATAACATGCCCTGAAAATTGGCCAAGAGTTAAAGGAAGGGGAGGCTGTTCCTGGATGGTGATGTAAGTTTCCTTCTTTTTAGGAAAGTGAGAGATGCTACTGGCGTTGATATCAACATGCGCGTGGGAGTGCACTCCGGGAATGTCCTCTGCGGCGTGATTGGCCTGCAGAAGTGGCAGTACGATGTGTGGTCGCATGACGTTACCTTGGCCAATCACATGGAAGCTGGAGGGGTCCCAGGGTAAGGCCTGACGTTGGATTTCTCTCTTTAAGTTGGCTGCATGGTTAGAAATGATAGGTCAGAAGGTTAATAACTTACTTCTCATTGTTGGATGATTTCTATGGTATTCATGTCCTACAGCCTCTTACATTAATCAGATAAACATGACCTGTCAAGTCCCAATTCCACCACCCCCGTGACCCGTGGTTAAAGACTGTGGATATCAGATTCTAAATTATAGACTTTTACTTATTTGCAAATGTATGAATAGGGACGTAAGTTGAAGATGTTTTATACTGCAGTGCAGACATGGCATTTCTCTATTATTGGTGACCTCTGAAACCAGTACTATTAAAATGAGAAAACTATGGCATCTGCCTCTGGTTAGAGTGTATTTCAGACAAGAGGTTTCCAATGCAAGTACTTTAATTTAGAGAAAAATGAGAGCAAATTTTGAGAAAGAAAACTCCTATTTGTATACAGATCAGCATGCTTTCTAAAATGCCTCTGGCAGGCATTTCAGAAAATATCCTTATTTACAAAAATTCTTTATGCTCCAGCTTTCTTTGCTGTTATTCACCACACCCACCAGACAAAGTTCTGTGAGTGCAGAGACCGCCAAGTAGGAGTAGCTCCTGACCTCCAGAAGCATCTTTCTAAAGCCCTGGTTAATAGACTGTCAGCCTTATCACAGTCCCTTTTCCCAAGAACATACAGCCTTCCCTTCATTACTGAAGTCACAGAAATAATCTCCCTCCTTCTCTATCTTGACTGTGGTTTTAAATGGAATTTCAGACGTGTCCATATTTCTTCTGTCACCCTGGAGCATCTGAATGGAGCTTACAAAGTGGAGGAAGGGGATGGTGACATCAGGGACCCATATTTAAAGCAGCACCTGGTGAAAACCTACTTTGTAATCAACCCCAAGGTCAGTATTATAAAGAGTCTATACTGTAATTGGCCTATGACTTCTGTGATTAAAAGGCAGAGGAGCAAATTACTTGTATAAGTACGTGTTTCAGTTAAGTAAGTCTTTGCCTCTAAAATAGCTTTAAATGCATATGGCATTTTAATTATGGAATGTGTTTTAAATAATGCATTTAAATTTATTTATTAAAGAAACAATTGAAATAATTGCTCTCTGTGACAGGGTTGTATTGTTAGTCAATGTATATGTTAATTTGTGGTGCTTCTGGGAGCAGCCTGACAGATGGGAAATTAAAGAGAAATATTTTGCTTAGGCCCTCAGATGATAAAAAAAAAATCTAATGAGATGAAATAGGATAAACATATAAGAAAAGGGAAAAGAAGGAATTTCTAAAATATTAACAATAAAGTATCACATATATATTTGTGCGAGGACAGGTGTATACAGACACGTTTAACTTTCATACAGTACCACCCTCTGTTACTGGAAGACCTTCCCACCCATCCAGAAGGCTGGGACCCGACTCCTCCTCTGTTCACGCCACATGTCCTCCAGAATGAGGGCCTTAGAGCCCTCATGTCCTTTAGCCTCTCAACTCCTGCCAAATGAATGTTATTGCTATTTAAAGATTCAGATTCCAGGACTCTGAGTGTTTATGTAACTTATCCTAAATCACACAGCTTTAAATGGTGCAAAAATAAGCAAGAAACACTCCTAAACTGTCAAAACCAGTATCATAAAGTCAACAGGATCAAGTGTGTGGATGTGTGGATATCTACACATGGTGGTCTCCTTCAGACCCTAGGTTTACCTTTGGTGGCAAACTTTAGTTCATTGTGACAAGCAGGAAAAACTGTGGGATGATGGGGGGAGGGGGTACCATAAGGAAAAGGCAAAAAATAGAACATGAAAACATTGTGTTCCGGCAAAGAACACCAAATCATGGGTAGGTAAGACCATTTAGCATTAGAAAATAGCTTCAATCTCTATTCCTGTCACTTTAGTGAAACTCACCATCAAGAAAAAGTTAGAACAGATCAGCATATCTGTTTAAAAATTTACTTTATAAAAATGTTTATTAAAATGGCTATTTTCCTAAGTTTAAATTACAGGTAACTTTTGCTGCCTGGGGAAAAAAAATGACTCAGCTCAAACAGCTTATAACACTGCCTGCCAGTAGCACTGAAGGAGTGAGGGTAGAAGCCATAGAGGTGAAGGGGTGATGTTAGAGGAAGATGCTTAGTCAAGGGAAACTTCTTGATGGGGTGGAGCAGGAAGGAGAGGTTGTGCAGCTTTCCCATGCCAAGTGTAATGATTAGTTCCTCACCCCAAGGGAGAACGACGGAGTCCCCAGCACCTCTTCAGAACTCGTCACACCCTCGATGGAGCCAAGATGAGGGCCTCTGTGCGCATGACCCGGTACCTGGAGTCCTGGGGGGCGGCCAAGCCCTTTGCACACCTGCACCACAGAGACAGCATGACCACAGAGAACGGCAAGATCAGCACCACGGTATGTCCTCCACGTTCCAAAGCATCTTAGCGCTAAATGAAGGCTTGTTCCCCAAACCAAAAGGCATCGCCTGCCAAAATAACTTAAAATGAAGCAAGTTTACCATCTCTGACTTCTCGGAGAGGCCCCTTAAAAATAGCTATTAGGATATGAATGAGTGCCAACCCCACATTGCTAGGGCTTTTAACCCAGAGCGATTTTGCATCAGAACTTTATAACCCTAAGACTGCATTATTGACAACTGACCGTAGCAACTGAATACAGTTGAACTTTTTTGAAAATCCAGGTTTGTGTTTTGTGCTTTGTTTTTGCCATCATTCAGTAGAAAACCTGAGCATCTTAATAAAAGAACAAGTGGAGGCATAATGTCCTTGGAGTTTGAGCAGCATTATTAAGATGGTCTTTTCATCACCCAAATATTCAGGCTGTGGCAGCAGCAATGTACATTCTATTGTTGTAGTTCCTTGTTTATATCACTCCAACTTCCATCAGAGAATAAAGTCTCAAGGTTCTTTACAACAGGGACATTTTCAATAAGATGGCTGCAATGCAGATAGAAAAAATAAAGAATAGAGGAGAGAGAAATAAATATAATTAAGCACTTAGACTAACCCCAATGGTATCTTTAGATTTTAACATGATCTCTGAGTAAAATTAACTCTAATAGCGATGGAGTTGGGATAAATAAAGGAAATGGAATGTTATGTATTTTCCATTACTTCTGAGAAGAAACATACCAGGTTGTCAGGTGAAAGTGGGCATTTCCAGTCTTCCTGTGTCCCAAACTTCCCAGCATGTCACGACACACCAACATTTATCTTCCAAAGATAATGGAAGAACAATGCAAACTGGCCCTACAGGTACTACAGGCACTACAGGTAGGGCTCAGCATTCTTGTTTGACTTGGTTATGTTTCTCCTCTCAACTTCCCTTGTTCTTTTTCAAACTAAAAAATGAATGTGGCTTGACAGAAGACTATGACCTACCAGACCATCAGTAAAGGAGACCACCAGGACAAGTCCTAGAGGAGTTTGTATTCTATTGGGAAGAGAGAAAATATAAGTAGAAAACAAAGGAACATGATCATCTTAGGAGCTGCAGAAGGCCATGATAAAGATAAAATGGAGCGATGTTCATGAGAGTGCATGGGTGATTACTCTCGGTAGGATGGCTGGGGACGTCTCAGAGAAGGAGAGGAGGAAATTAGGAAAGGAGGTGGCAGAACAATAAATTCAGTGGTTCTAAGATGGAAATGAATGTGGTCAGAGAGGATCCTGTGTGGCTGTAGTGTCATCAACAATGAGCAAACAATCAGGCTGAGATGCACTAAGGTAACTGTGTTTAATTCACTCTACTAGTAAGTATAGTGGGAGGTCACTAGAGGATCTTAAGTAAGGAACGGGCATGGTAGAATGTGCTTTGCAATAACGGAGCAAGAGTGCAGGGGACCAAGTGAGAATTATGCTCACTTATGCTAATATTTTAGTAGTGTATACAGTGAGAAGCAAATTCAGGGTCTATTTTGAATGTAGAGCAAATCAGACTTGGTGGAGTGGATATGTGTGAAAACGAGGATCAAAGATGAATTCACACTTCTTTTAGCGGCACAGCTGGAAGAATGATGATGACATTAACTGCGATGACAAATGCTATAGGAAAATCAAAAGATTTAAAATGGAAAAACCAAAACTTTGCTAATGGACATCTTCAAATCAATGTGCCTTTTAGAATCTAAGTGCAGCTAGGAAGTTGGCAGCTGGATGTGCAAGTCTAGAACCCAGGGAAGAGGCCCAAGCTGGAGATGTGAATGTGAGAGGGGTCAGGTTTTAGATGGTATTTAAAGCCATGGAGCTGGATGGAATTATCAAGAAGAGAAGAGATCAAAAGAGGAGGGCCTGGAGCATCTGGGGCCTTTTAGCATTCAGAGCTGTTAGAGGAAAAGCATCCTAAGATGCTAGTATCAAGTTGTCAGTGAGAGTCGATGCTTTTATCACTCTTATGAAAAATAATAATTTGGATAATTTTACCTCAATGCTACATTTATTATTAATGCTAATGGCTAATAACCATATTTCTCATTGTGTTTGTTGTTCATCAGAAGTTGGTTGGTTGGTTTTCAAGAAATTAGAATCATGTATAAATATTAGAACATGATTTTCTGTGCTGTTTCTTATGTATACCTGTGAAAACATTATTGTCCAGGTGTTATTGATATTGTTATGGTTGTTTATTTCTCATCAGTCTTATTGTCCCAGGACTCAACAGTGCCTGTCTCCCTCATTATCTCATCATGGGACCACAGGAAATATTTCACCTGACTTTAATCTGTTATGTTAGTGAAGATGCCTCCTTCAAGGGAATGTTGCAAGGTCTAGTGCTTTAAGCTTCCGGAAGTTGTTTATGAAATCAGAGGGACCTCCTGAACAAACTCAATTTTCTTAACTGGCTGGTTTCACTAGTCACAGATACAGAGCCTAGGGGCTGCTTTAGCAGCAAGATAGGATATCTTAAGAAAATTCCAAGGCTTTGTTTAACACATGAAGCCCATATGATGGTTACTTAGCTGTGTTCCTACTCACTTTCAGAAATGATTAATAATCCTTCTTATTAATACATCCCAGGATTGAACAGTTGTCATTGCCAGAAGTTAATTCTTTTATCCAATCCCCTATGCAGAGCTCCATTGATTCTTGGTTCAACATTGATAGAGCTGGTGAATAATGTATTATTCTACTTTATATAAGAAAACTTGGAGTTTAGTTTTGTGTTTTTTTTTAATGCTTTACCTTTTCCTAGGTAAATGTATTCCCTTAACACATTTCTTACACTAACCTTGGAGATAAAGCAGCAAAGAGAAGTTTCTTTAGAACCATTTTGTTTCGATTTTAATTTCCACTATAACTGTATAACGATGAATCTTGTGGTTTTTTAGGTCTACTATTGAACATTAACAGTGGGTGTCCCATTGATAAACCCTGACTGGTGTCTTCCTCTCATTCTGTTTTCAGGAACTCCCAGCACTCATATGTCAAATCTTTATTTTTCAATTACAGTTTACATTCAATAAGATCCTGTATTAGTTTCAGGTATACAGCATAGTGGTTAGACAGTCATATACTTTACAAAGTGGTCCCCCCAATACACATTCTTAACCAAAGGCACCATTTCTTCACAGTTTAATGATAAGGATTGACTATAGACTTTGTGGTTATGTTTATGTTGTAAAGCACTTTTAAATATTTTTCTGATGCCAAACTACAATTTCAAATGATTGTAAGCTGTTTACATAACTCTAATAATGATTTTTCTGTAGGCCATTGTTTGAAATCATATCTTTGAATATTAAGATGTAAATGTTAAAAATCCCGACAACCAGTCTGATACTTTTGACATCCACAGTTTATAGACGACACCAACATTTTAAATATAAACTGAGTTTTTAATCTTACTTTACATTTATAGTTAAGTCTTTGTTCCACATGGGTAATTATATGTTACCTAACTGAAATTTCTCATGATAAAAGAAGAAATATGTTTTACATAGTTATCATCGCAATGCTATTTTAAAAGTATATTTTTGGCAACTAATATCTTTTTTTTATAGGATGTACCAATGGGCCAGCACAATTTTCAAAATCGCACCTTAAGGTATGGTATATGTTCCATTTTCTAATTTTTAAAAGCTCACTTTTTATTTATTTATGAAAGTAATTTGTCATCAATTATAGTAATTTTGAAGGCTACTTCTTCTAAAATAGCAGCTACTTATGAAGAGCCCTATTAAATTGCTCTCAAGCTTCTAAAAATAGGATTATTAGTATCATGTTATTAGAATTAAGAGAGGGGAAAAAGAAAACACCACCTGGTAATCACTGTAGAACTTGAAATTATTTTCTTAAAATGATTCTTCCTGATATTAATATGTAGCAAAAAATGGAATTTTCTTAAAATGAGTATGGTCCTTAAAATTACATTTTTCTGTTTTGAATCTTAGAGATAAAAGCAAAAGAAGTCTAGCTTTTCTATGGTAAAAAGTAGGGCTGCCCAACCTCTCTAAAAAGGGGAAAAAAACTTCCCACACATGTCTCCAGGCCCCAGTCACCACCCATGGTAGAACTACAGGCACTAATATCTTTTATTTCCACATTCCTCTAGCTTTGGGAGTTGGAATTATACTGTAGTATTGATTTGGGGATGAAGTATTTCTTATTGAAGTAAGTAGGATAATTCATGGAAGGCCCAAAACTCAAGCCAGTCTTTTTTTTCCCCACAAAGAAGTGAGTTTATTCTTACAGAAAACACATTGTATCCAAGTAAAAAGTAAACACAATTAGGTAGATCATTCCCTGCAAAGCATGGCAAGGAGTGCACATCACCCCAGAATCCCTCTAGGTGACTTGGTTGTAATGAGCTCTACTTTATATTTTGTGTAACATTTGAAATTTTAACGTTGAGATAGAACACCCATAGCCCTCCGTTACAGGGATAATTGGGTTCTTGGGCCTTTGAGGCGTTATGTTTGAAGTGACAAGTGCCACATTAAAGAGAACCCCAGCCAATTTAAGGAATATCATGGACCCCATAGCATACCTTGAGGGTGTGTGACTCTTCCGGCCAAGCAGGCACTAGCAGGTCTGCAAGCAACTGTGCACAGAAATTTTGTGACCATCCTTTCACTTTATTCTCCATGTCTCTTCTGTTGTCTATCTGCCCCTCCCTGAAATTGTGCTGCAAGAACCTGTTTTCAGAAATGACAGCAGGAAATGCCTAGTGGACCACCAGGGTTATGTGGGCAGTGTCTTCTGGGATGAGTGCTATCTGGAAGACAGTGATCAAAAGCTATTATTGTATCTGGACTAAGCATGTGGAAAATCTGATTTCGTCCTTAGTATTCTTCCAAGACAGACCCTATGGCCATTATCCTTTAAGAAGGGAAGACACTGAGGTGCAGGGGGTTAAGCGAATGCCCAGAGTCAGGCAGCTGGCAGAGGTGAGGCCAGGATGTGTGTCCTGACTCTGTGGTGCCAAAGCCTGCGCTCCTCACTGTTCCCTCCATGTCTGTTCCCCTTGCCTCTGTGGTGGGTGATCTCTGGTGACCCTAAGGGCCTCATGGAGATAGACTTTCAAACCAGCCTTACCTGGGCTTCCCTCGAACACCCTGGCTTTGTCACATGGCCTACATCATAAAACCTCTCTGAGCCTACAGCCTGGCCATGAGGCAATGTCACCTGCTATTGAGGCATCATCTGAGCTAACACACAACCTCCTCCATGTCTCCTTAGATATAAAAGCCCTAGTGTGAGGGTGGGACAGGTTAGAGAAGGAGCTCGGGAGAAATAATGGAGAGAAATTGGAAAGAAAGAGGGGTTGGGGACAATGAGCAATGGGGAGGCCATCGGTAAGGACCAGAGGCAGAAGCAAGGACTGGAAGATCAGAAATGCTGAAAGTCAAAGGAACAAAGCCCTGGTTGGCAAGTTAAGAACTCCTGGTGGGTAGATTATGAGACCTAGCGGTATTATTATTTCCCTAGCAGAAGTCACCAAATTACAGAAGCAAGAACACTGTCTGTAGGTTAGTAATTTTTGTCCAGATAATTAGTGAATACAAAGGTGAAAAATCATATGCATTTATTGACCACTGCATGTGCCATGCTTACTGCATTGACCACTGTACAGGCATTGCCCAAGCTAATCCCAAAACAGATTCACGAAGGCAATGCCATTGTTAGCCACAGGCATAATATTGAAGGATTTTGTTTTTCTGTGAATTCAAGGACCTACAACTGTTTCTTCTTGGACTTAGAGAGATTTTGAGAAAAAGAAAGCACCAAATTGAAGTCAAGAAACTCAAGTCCAGTGAAGGGATGATTAAAAACAAAACAAAAAGTCTAAAGTGAAGATAGCTCCTCCCTGTAAATGAGAATTAGCCAGACTAGATGATTGCTAAAATTCCTGGCTTTAAAAAAAAAAGAAAAGATAAATAATTTGTCTTCTTCAAGCAGTTTGGAATATGACATGTCAATACCTCTTGACACTGTATCTGCATCTGGGTCACTTAATATTATTCTGGTTTTGAACCAAGACTGTCCTTGGCCTGTTTAAAGAAGACAGGACTTGAAGACACAAATCCACAGATGCTGATGGAATTGCAATGCCCATCATCTCATTAATGATGATTCCATGAGATTAATTACAGATAACTCTGACATTGCATATTGATTGGCTTTTCTTGTCTATATCTAGAGGCAGTTCTGAACTCATAAAAGTGTTATTTTTATTACAGAATAGAAAGTCTATTCAATCGGTAATTTAACCAACCAGAACCATCCCACTCAGGGACCTGTCACACCTAGACTTAGGCACAGGCTGGTGCAGGCCAGTTGGCGAGGGCCAGCCTGTGTTTTCGTTCTTTGCAGGTGCTTAACTTTTTAAAACATTTATTGTTTTGGTTTTCTCATGCTAATTGTCAAATTAACCTTGTGAAACTCACTATGATTTTGGCTTAATTTATTTACAAAGCATATTACAGCTGAAGGTTATTTGCTTCCACCACCAAGTGAGTGGTCTGCAAATATAAGTGGGGTTTTCTGTGAATTGCGCTTTCAAACACTGAGGGACATTTAAATACATACAAATAAGCTTTGATATGCCTAAAAAAGACTGTAGTTCTTCAAATTCTTGAAAACAGACCAATGAAAACATGAACAAGGAATAACTATTTTGTCAACTAAACTGAATTTTTGCAGGGGAATTTCCAAGCCAGTGTGTTCTGTCATAAACTAAAGTTTATAAAGGCAACCAGTCAAGGGCTAATGTGTCTTGTAGGACAAAAAGTTCTTTCATCTCCAACACCAACCACCTATCCTTCAGTGTTGCTTTTGATTACCAAGAAAAATTTCACTCTAAGTGAAGTAAGGCCACATTTTACTGCACCAAAAACTCAAGTCAGTTCTGTCGATTCATAGAGTGGCTGCTGTTAATAAAGAAAAGGCTGTTCATGGAATCATTCTTTTTACTTGTTTAACAGAATTAAACAGAGGTTTTGGCATCATAGAAAAATTGGGTTAATGTTTAGTTTAGTAATAAGATTCTTACCCATTGCATTTCCTTTTTCATCTAGAACCAAGTCACAAAAGAAACGATTTGAAGAAGAATTGAATGAAAGGATGATTCAAGCAATTGATGGCATTAATGCACAAAAGTGAGTTCTTCTTAATCTTTAATTATCATTCATCCTGATAATTTCAGAGATGATATTTCAAACCCTATTATTTAAAAAGATTTATTTCCTGCCTAATAAACACTCTTCAAGTAAATTACTAATAAAAAGCATGAGATGTAAACATGGAGAGAAAAATCATAGCAAAATGTGTTCAGGAGGTCATATGAAAGATCAATAGGAATTCCTTGTGGGGAAAACTTTAAGTTATAGTAAGTAGCACTATTCATTCAGAATGCATTTATTCCCATGCAAAACCAGAGAACATGGAGCTACCCATGTTCCAAATTGTGGAAGAGTGTTATGCATTAGAAATTGAATTCATGAGGGCAATTTGAAGAAGACCAGGTTTTTCTGAGGTGGGGGCACAATATTGTTCAGTCTATGAAGTCTATAAATTCTATGAATGTCTATTCAGTCTATGAATTGCTGTTGTAGTTTTAAATGGTCCTAGAAATGCCTTAAAAAATTAAAGAAAGTAGTGGCATTCATGGCCTGGACAGAACAGTCACATCCATCAGCCTCTGAAACCACACCAGGTGCATGTGCATTCAATAAATGTTTGTTGAATTAAGTTGTAGTGTAAACATCAGGAGGTCCAAATGAAAAGCTCCATGGAAAAGTTTCCATCCTTATGGAAACCGGACTAATTTTTATCATGAAAGTTGACTCTTGAAAAATGTAAATGATTTTCACCTAGAACTCTGCCTCCAAAATTAAGCTGCATGTCTTTGCAAACTGTGTGCTTCTTCTACATTGTTCATTTTAAGTATTTATTTTAAAATATTTATAGGGTTTATGAGAAAATTACATGATTGTGCGTGTGTGTGTGTGTGTGTGTGTGTGTGTGTGTGTGTGTAATTGACTATATACCCAATAAAGTATCTTGGTCGGGCTACAGTTGTAATTCAGATATACTGGCACAATGAATTAACACCTGCCTAAAGATCCTTTATGTGCCCTAAATGCAACGTGTGGCTTGAATTAAGTCATTTGCTCAAGTATCAGTCCAGTGTTCATGGCTTACAAAACTCAGTGACACAAGGAAAGAGAAACCTGGTCTTGAGCACTTCCTGCTACCTACAGGACACAGACAGATAGGTAACTGAAATCTGGACTGGAATTAGGGGGCTTTGCAACTTAATGATGAGCTGGTTTTATTTCCCCTTTATAAATTTCACTCATTTTATTTCCAAGCTTATATAATTCAGGACTATTTTTAAGTTAGATGTTTCTCAATAAAGAAAAAACTTTTAATAAGCTACCTGTATACATGATTCATAGTTTCATTAGTACACAGTTCTGGAAATGAGTACAGTAAAAATGTATCTAAATTTTATTTTCTGTCCTTTTTCTATATTAACCAACCTTTGATTCCTACAATTAGTCTCATAAAAGAGGGCAATTACATATTTCTGCAGCTAATGTAATAATAAGAATTGCCAAATATGTCTGTTTCCCTGAATCTAAAGATTATACCCTTGAATCAAAAATTATTATTGCCTGGTCAGCATAGTTCAGTGGTTGAGCATCAACCTATGGACCAGGAGGTCACAGTTCTATTCCCCGTCGGGGCACGTGCCCGGTTATGGGCTCGATCCCCAGTGAGGGGCACACGGAAGGCAGCCGATCAATGATTCTCCCTCATCATTGATTTTCTATTTCTCTCTCCCTTTCTCCCTTCATCTCTAAAACCAATAAAAATACATATTTTTTAAGTATTGTTATATATAGTTCCCAGTTTTAATGGTGATTGTTCTGGGACACATTACTGACTTCTGTGCCCCGACTGAAAGTGCAAGGCTTGTCGTTGAGTCTTGTGGGACATTCACACTCATCATGGTCGGCACCATGAGAGTCTTCCTAACTCTCCAGGGGTTCCGGGCACAGCATATCCACATAGACCTGGAGATGTCCCTCCTCAGGGGTCTCCAGGGGTAACTTGTCGTTAACGCAAATCTGAGACCTCATGTACACTTAGGGGCCCTAACCTGAAATCAATAAGTGACTGATTACTGGATAAAGTATAACAGTTCACCTGGCCTTTTCTCCTGGATCCTCAAAGGCCTTCACCCTTTATTTCCCGAATGCCTCTCAAGGAGTCCAAATCCATAGGCAGATGCACAATGGATTGGAAAGTTCTATATTAATAAATTCATGTGAATTGTTTTTTGTTTGAACAGATGTAATTTTTTTGGAATTTTATGTAAAATACTAGAGGCCCAGTGCACGAAATTCGTGCATGGGGTGGGGGGTGCGTCCCTCAGCCCAGCCTACACCCTCTCCAATCCGGGACCCCTTGGGGGATGTCCAACTGCCTCTCACAATCCGGGACTGCTGGCTCCTAACCGCTCACCTGCCTGCCTGATCGCCCCTAACCCCTCTGCCTGCCTGCCTGATCGCCCCTAACTGCTCCCATACCAGCCTAATCACCCCTAACTGCTCCCCTGCTGACCTGATCACCCCTAACTGCCTATGCCTCGCCCCACACCCGGGACCCAGGATCCCCTCCTCCAGCCAGTCACAGGCACCCAGGACCTGGGCTTCCCTCCCTCTGGCCAGCCACAGGCACCCAGGACCTGGGCCAGTTGCAGCTGCAGGAGACCGTGGGCAGGCTGCTTTGCCTGGGCAACTTCTCCTGGGCCACAGCCGCAGGTGCCCGGGACTGCAGGGCATGCGGTTTGTCCCTCTCCCGGGCCACATCCGCAGACTCAGCCACTGGTTCTCGGGACCACAGGGCGGGCAGCTTGTCCCTCTCCTGGGCTGCAGGCACTGGCACCCAGGACAATGGGGCAGATGGCTTGTCCCTCTCCCAGGCCATAGGCACAGGTGCAGCCACTGGCGCCCGGGCGGGGTGGGCGGCTTGTCCCTCTCCCAGGCCGCAGCCTGGCTGGTCCCCATTCCTCTATCTCAAGCTCATTTGTGCCGGGCTGGTCCACCTTCCTCTCTCCCCAGTGTTGAGTGTCTGAGCCATTAAGGCATGATGGCATGAGGGTGTGGCAACCATTTGCATATTAGCTCTTTATTATATAGGATTTTATCTCTAATGTTTTCATATATGTATATGTTCTCTCTTCCTATATATAGATATAGATGTAGACCTAAGGTTATATATACTTGTAGAAATATACATATCTATGCATATTCATTATAATTCAGGTTATTATATTTGTAATTATTAACATATTTAAGAGAAGTTAGGACAGGAGAAATATAAATTCATCAGTTAATGACTCAAGCCAGTTGGTCATTATTGGTGTTTATTTTTAGATATTTTTCTTGATGCACACATTTCAATTTTTTTCTTACTTAACTTTTTTTCAGAAAATATATGTTAATTTTATGGCCAAATGCATGATTATATCAGGCACTGCGCACCCGGCTTGCTTGGTCATATGTCTGGTGTCTCTGCTTATCTTGTGATTATATAGAGCATTCCAATGAAAAGTTCTTTCATTAAACTCTTTCTCTATTTCAACTACTTTCTTAAGATAGATTTTGTGAGTCAATCAATGAGTAAGCATGCATACTTCCATATAATTTTTATTCTTTTAACATCTGAGTGACATGTATGTATTTATTCACATGTGTTTATGTTAACATAATATTAGTGATCTGAACTGCTTGATTCTTATATTAGTATTTTCAACTGATATTTTTGTAAAACATGTTCAAATACTATTTTTATTTTATAGAAATAAAAAAACCATAACGATGATTTTACTTATATGTGAAATCTAAAAAATGAAATAAATGAACAAACAGAACAGAAACAGACTCATAGATACAGAGAACACTTTGATGGTTGCCAAATGGAAGAGGGTTTGAGGGATGGGTGAAAAAGGTGTAGGGATTAAGAAGTACAAATTGGTAGTTACAATAGTCAAGGGGATGTGAAGTACATCATAGGGAATATAGTCAATAATATGTTAATAACTATGTGTGATGTCAGATGGGTACTAGATTTATCATAGGGACCACTTCATAAGTTATGTAAATGTCTAATCACTAGTCGCACACCTGAAACTAATATAATATTGTATGTCAACTGTAATTATATGTATTTAATTGAAAAAAATATTATAAAGAAAACAAAACATAGCATAACAATGAAAGTATTTTCAGTAAGGGTAAAAGAAGCAAAATCTCCTTGCCCAGAACTTGAAAGGACTCTAAATGGGTTTGACGTTCTGTGATGTGTTGCTTGGTATAAACGCAGAAATACAGTGCTTCTCTGTGGACCAAATGCTTCAGGACATGACACTACCATGTGATTTCAGTAAAACATCAGGGAACACATTTAATAATGTACTTGAATCCCTAGTTATTTAATTAGGCTAACTTGAGTTTCAAGCTGGTACAACAGATGGTTGTTAATATCAAATTTTCCAAGGAGGGCAGTGTGAATAGGAATATTATATTTGTGGATTCCATATCCAGTTATTTGGCATTGTACCTTTTTTAAAATATTCAATTTTGGATGATTTACAGTAAAGAAAGAAGAATGCAAGTCACTTTTTTAAAAGCAGTTCCAGATGTTTGGTTGGAGGTTTGGTTTTATGATGTCTGCCCTTTTTATTTCTAGGCAATGGCTCAAGTCCGAAGACATTCAGAGAATCTCATTGCTTTTCTACAATAAAATACTGGAAAAAGAGGTAAGCTATATTTTTCTTTAAAATCAATCATTTTTTATGACATTTTAGTTTTTCAAATTTCTTCATGAAATTATACTCGTGTTTTTTCTTACTTGTGACATTTAAACTGCCTCTAGCTATATCCAACTCTTTCTACCTTTTCTATAATTCTTCCATGCATATATTGTTTTGTCATAGTTCTTGGAACCAAGCTTCATCTCTGGCTAGTCATCATTCTCAATACTCCTGGTGGTATATGATGTCTGGAACACATCTGAGATTGGGAGCTTAAAGAAAGGAGCGTGATCTAAACAAATTCTTCCTGATAAATTTACAGTGACTTTGCACAAATAATTTTAACTTTTTGACAAAAATATGAGATTTACAGTCAACGTGTTTGGGAGAATTAGGAACCTCAAACTTTTAGGTTTTGTTGCATCTCAATACTTTCACATTATGACTCATAAAATAAGAGCTATTTCAGGCACACATAATAAGCAGACATTTAATTTTTACATGTCAAGTTTAACATGGATTTTCTAAAATGAATTAAATAATTATTATAGAAAGGAAAGGACAACTGCTCTAGGTCAGCTTTATTTGATTTGCCTTTTGTTTTGTGTTGATACAAAAAAGGAACAAGTTAGAGGCGATTTTTATTATCCAACCATGTAATTACAGTCTTAGTTTGAACAAAAGCTACTGTATTTAAAATGCTATTAAGGGAATTCAGTTCATTGTTTTATGGATATTGAACAGAAAAAAATCAAATACCAAAATTTCTCCCAAAATTCATCAGGGTTGGATTATGCAGTTACACCAGAATTTTCTTTTTTTACTAGTGGTCAAGAAGATCAATTGTCTGCTTCTAAGTCAACATATTGACTACAGATTGTTTACCAAATTGATATTTTATATAATTCATTACTATTATTCTGACCATTTTTTCCTTGAATAACTTTAACACATACTGATGGTTACTTAATGTGTAAATGGTAAAGTAGTCCCTTCCTGGTAGAAGTTCATCTCCTTTATTAATTCTATAACTCATAGCTCTGCACAAAGCCCAGCAGAAGGGAAAAGATAAGGATGTAATTGAATGCGTAGAATGTAATCACATTTCTGCGCTTTTGCTAATGTAGCTCCTTCATCAACATGTAAATTATCCCGGCTAGTAAGTCACAAAATTCATCAGAAAAACATTCTAGCAAATAGAAGGTGATCGTCGTTTTAAAATGCCACTTTTGCTGACATTGCCCATGAGGACATATTTGCAGAGGCCAACTTTCAGGCGAGGTTGAGAGAGCATTGAGATTTAAGCTTGCTTTTTGTCCATCTATCACCAGCCTGCTCTTCAGCCCTGCAGGAAGGATACAAGGTAGCAAGGAAGAGAAACTTCAATTCACCACCCAGAGATCCAGCATCCCTCACTAAAACCCCAGTGGCTAAAACCCCAGCAATTCATACTATAACTTCCCATAACTTGGGGAGCAGTCTGTGCAGATATAGCTAATGCAGCCTGCCAGTATTGTCCCGGGGTCTCAATAGCATTGCCACAGAAACTTTATTTCCTTTCATTTTATTATAAAACTCTTTTGAGAAGCAGTATAGTCTCAGCTGCAACTTTGGCTGTCGTTTTTCCTGCATAACTCAGGCAGGGGCAGTCCCAGGTGGGCAGCTACACTGGTCAGTGTACAGTCCTGGGCGGGATCGAAAGCCGCGTGACAAGTGGAAAGAATGTCCATCAGCCAGGCTCAGACAAGCAAACAGAATGAATGTGGACCTAGACAAAGCCCGCCGGGCTTCTCTAGCTTGTAAATTTACACATTACCTCTAAGTAGCACTAAAATAAATAACAAAATAAAAGACTAAATCTAGTAAATTGAAGGAGGAAATTACATTTCCTCAGTAGCATTCAAAAGTGAAATATTATGTGAAAATTTATTTGCTTTCCCCAAATAACTGGGCAACAAGGGAACCAGGGCTCCCGCACAGTTCACTCAGTTCACTGGTCCATCAGTCACTCACTTGTCAGGTGCTCTCTCTCCTTGATGGAGTGATTGATTCAGTTACCTTTAAATGGGTTTCTGAACATGCCGGCTTATATAAGTCACGGTCTTTGGAAGTTACAGCTCATTTGGAGGGAGGAAGTACTCATTGCCGGGGATGAACAGCCATCGTCCTCAGCTCATTTGTGCCACAGTCTATAATGTAGGAGTGTGATGCATGAACTGGGTAGAGTTAGGCTGCTAGATGACTGCTTCAGCCCTTCTCTTACTGAACTGCCACTCACAGTTTCCTCCTTCTCCCCCTTAGTACCGAGCCACGGCACTGCCAGCGTTCAAATATTACGTGACCTGTGCTTGCCTCATTTTCTTCTGCATCTTTATCGTGCAGATTCTCGTGTTACCAAAGTAAGTGCACGTGGTTCTCCATTGGGATTCTCTTCTGGTACCATCCTACTGGCCCATGGTGCGTAAGGGTGTGAGGAGATGGTAGTTTCTAAACAGAGGGGTTATGTACCATACCACAGTGATGGTGGAAGGGGTAGACCTCAGGATCTGTGAAGTTAAGTGGTCTCCATGCATCATGTTTAGTTATAGAAATATTGGATTTTCAAAGTGGACATGTGGATTCATGTTCCAGTGTTTCCTTCTGCTTTGATTTTCATATTACTCTGATGCCCAGTTTAAGAAATATCGCCCAGGAAAACTTTACCAAAAAAGGCAAAATTGCCCGATGTTGTTTCTAATATACAAATAACATCATTGTATATTGAAAGGACAAAACCTGCTCTGGGCACACTTAGCCCACCCATTCATTCTGATTTCACAGTCTTCTCCATGAAGTCCAGGCCCTGCCCCCATCTCTGATTGTTACAGGTCACTGTCCAACTCGCCTCTCCCAGGACAGACCTGAAACAGACAGGAGAAACCGGGTGAGCTGGATTTCACAGGTTCACACTTTGGGGTGGACTCCTGCTAGTCCCACCTATTGGTGAAAATCCAGTCATTCTATGATTCCTGGATTGTCTTTCTCCCTCACCTTCTTAATGAATGAAATGTACACCAACTGACTTCCTTTAAAGAAACAGATTTTTCCCATTCTACAGCCTAAAAGAAAAAGAAAACAAATCTCTTGTCTTTTGATAACTGGGGACATAGACATAAATTTTAAGATAAATGTTCTTTCCCCTTATTGTTACCTACTCTGTTAAGGCAAAGCAATCATTTTTAATTTAGTACAATTTAGAGCATTTGCGTTTAACTTCTGGGGCACAGCCAGCATTTGTGGGCAACTTGAATTGCTAAGGCTGGGTTACATTTTGTCTCATTGATAGAAAGAAAACTAGAAATGAAAAGTCTGTCTTTCTCTCTGTACTCTAGAGGATATTCTTCTGGACACTGAGCCCATTCTAAGGCTTTATAGAAATATAACAAATCAAAATATTACTCATATATGTACAATCCAAAGCTATCAGACCCCTTTTAGGAAAGGGTTCCCACTAGATTTCCCCTCCCCCATAAGTTAGCATTAAAATGTGTGGGCCAATTGAGTTCTTCTAAAACTTAAGTGAAATTTGCTAATGTCAACTTACAAGTTTTTTATTTTAAAAAAAGTTAACAAATTAAGTTCCTTCTAAGTGCCAGGCCTGTGCTACATGGTTCAAGAGAGAAACAATGGTCCCAGCATGCACAAGGCTTACAGGCTGGGCATTGCCCTGGCCGGGTGGCTCAGTTGGTAGGAGCATCGTCCCATACAACAAAAAGGTTGTGAGTTTGATTCCGGTCAGGGCACATACCTAGATTGAAAGTTCAATTCCTGGTCTGGGCATGTGCAGGAGGCGACTGATTGATGTTTCACTCTCTCCCTCTTCCTTTCTCTTTCTCTGAAATCAATGGAAGCATATCCTCAGGTGAGGATAAAAAAAAGTTCTTACATCTCTGTCATGTATTTGGATTAATAATTTATATAATCTTCTCAAAGAGCAAAATAATAAAACATTCTCTTTTTTTAAAAAGTTACATAGATGATACAAGTACTACCAAGGGAAATGGATCCTTATTATTACTCTCAAGTAGATAAATTCATTCATTTTCTGTATCTTCCTAATAAGTATTTTTTATATTTTCTACATCATAATTAAGATAGTTTATCACCCACGAGAAGGAGTTGGAAGAGAGGAAAGTGAGTCAGCATTTTAAAAGATGATGTCAAAGATGCCCTAGCTGGTTTGGCTCAGTGGATAGAGCATCGGCTTCCAGACCAAAGGGTCCTGGGTTTGATTCAGGTCACAGGCATGTACCTTGGTTATAGGCTCCTCCCCAGCCCAGGCTCTGGTGGGGGCTTATGTAGGAGGCAACCAATCAATGTGTTTCTCTCACATTGATGTTTCTCTCTGTCTTTCACTCTTTCTTCCACTCTCCCTAAAGATCAATGGAAAAATATCCTCAGGTGAGGATTAACAACAACAAAAAAAGATGAAGTCAAAGATGACAGACTTCCAGGGACCAAGAAGAACATTTCATGACATTATACTTTTAAAAGGAGATGTCTGCTCTGTCGTTGCTTTTATTTTCGTGTCTCTCTTTTATTGAATTGTTTATTTATGAGGACCCATACATATGTTATTTAATTATGGCAGTCCATTCTCTCCGGTATCATCACCAGTTATTATGTGTTTCTTGAGCAACAAGTTAGACTTCAAGTGTGAACATTGTGAAATCTGTGCTGGTTGCATTTCCCTCTTTGTGTTGGCAGTCAGAAAATTCAGAGGAAGGCCTGTGGGCTCCTCAAATAAAAAGAGTTGAAACTTGAGTGTGTGTGTGTGTGTGTGTGTGTGTGTGTGTGTGTGTGTGTGTGTAACTCACTGAATGAGTTATTACAGGGAAAGGATACATTAACCTAAGGAAGAGACACATAGGGCAGAGTCTAGAAGGGGCCCAAATGCAGAGCTTCTGGCTGTTCTCTCCCAGGGGAGCATAGAGGGATTACCTTCTCCCAGCCACCATGTGTGGCAATACCCACCAAGGGTCGTCAACCAGGGAAGCTCACCCAAGCCTTTGGTGTCCAGAATTTTTATTGAGGCTCAATCACATTCTGCCCATGTGACTGCCTGTTGGTCTCCAGCCTCCTCCTGATATGGGGCTAACATATTGAGTCTCCAATCCCTTCATAGTTGAGAGCTGCACCTCTGTGCCAGCTTTATATATATATATATATATCCTAGAGCCGGTGCACAAAATTTGTGCACTCGGGGGGTCCTCAGCCCGTCTTTGCCTCTCGCAGCTGGACCCCTGTGGATGTCATCTGCTGCTAGCCCGCTCACTGGGGGGATTTGCTA